GTACCATGGGAAAACAAAAGAATTAACTTAAGAAAATTAGATGAGATGCTATGTGTTTGATTTGTGAAATGTATGGTATGATGTGCATCAAGGTTAAGGATAAGATTACTTGAGTAAAGGAATGAATGGAAATAATATTGATAATAAAAAGAATGTGAATGATGATATTAGTATATATATATATATATATATATATATATATATATATATGCATTTGTTACATGAAAGGACATGTGAATTTTGTATGATATGATATAATTATATGTTCATGCATAGTTAGGAGTTAAAGTTACCTTATATATTTTCCAATGCCTCACTAAGTCATCGACTTAGCGTGTAAATGTTTCACATGTAGGTTTCGTGAGCAAGAAGAGGAGCAGGGATAGGCAAAGCAGGTCAGTTACTCTTTTCCAAAGATCATATCAGAAAAGCATATTTTGAATAATATGTATTCTGTTATATAGAAAGTTATTGGCATGAAATAAAATATTTGAATTGGATCCGCTCTGATAAGTTTTGTAAATTCTTTGATATAAATTGTATAAAGTATGCAATTTGATTTAATAAAAGTCAACATTTTCATTCTTTTGTAAAAGTAATTGTTTTAATAGTCAATGTGATATCTCGGACTCGTATCTAGGTCGGATATGGGTTGGGGTGTTATATTTAATGGTATCAGAGCTAAGGTTTAGCCGATTCTAGGCTTAAACTGAATTTAAATGAATTTTAAAATGTGTACATTCCAACACAAAGAGAAAAAATTTGGATATGATACTGTAAGGAGTATGGTGTCTTGCTAATAAAATCATATTAGTATGATGTAGTAGAAGTTTGATTATAAGAATTGTTGAAGTGAATTGATAAGTGATAAACTTGATGGTGGTAGCAATTCACTTGCACTAGCCAGGCATGATGAAGAACGAACACCTCAGGAAGTGCATTGTAAGATTAAAGGTTGTTTTCAGAAATTGAAAACATGTTAGAATAGCGTTAAGGGGTCTCCATTGTTCTGAAGTAGAGAAGTTAGATGAAGTAGTTTAGCTACTATACGGTCAAGTTAAAGTATAAAGAACATATGTTATCATGAGAATAATAGAAGAATTAGTAATATGGTTATTGATTTCGGAAAAACTCAAGAATGGGTACGTCGGTGACAAGTTTATAAGACGAACGAAGCCAGAGTATATGAGATTGAAATGAGGAAATAGTATTATGTATGAGTAATAATGTGGGTTTGATGAGTTGAGTACATTACCATTGAGGAAAAATTTTGATTGATAAGGATGTATATGATCGGCTTGATAAAGGTTGTACCCTAGTTAAAAAGTTGGCATTGACTAACAAAGTTATGTAATGATAAGTGTATTAGAGTTAAAGGATTAGAAGCGGATGTTAAGTTAACCAAGTATGGTGTGGATTTGGATATAGTTACGTATCCTAATCATGTAGATATGATGTAGTCAAAAAGATGAGGATTTATATTTTTGAAGGGAGCTTTAAGGAAATAGAATAAGTGTTTTAATGGATTAAGTGATTTTTTGGATTTGGTACTTGATGAATTAAGTGAATGAAATTAAATTAAAAAGGGAATTAAAGGATTAAGTATGACAAATGTTATAATGGAAGTGTAGGTTATAAGTTCGATATAGAAGTAAGAAAAGTATATATGAAAAGATTATATGAAGATTTAAGGTTGTGTTTCTCGGTAAAATGGACGTTATCAGAGAAATAAGAATTTAGTTATAAGTATTAAGGAAGTTTAAGATCTAGTTGTATTATTATATTCTTTTGATCAAGTTGGCAAGGAAAAGCCTGATATTTTTTAATGATAACCGGAGAAAGATTTGGTTTATGGGACAAAACAATTATGAAAGGACGAAAGGAATCAATTGAATCATGATCATGAATGGTAAGGATTGGAATTACTATATATATGATGAGTAACATTATATAGATCTATAAAAACGAATGTAGATGAAGAATTGAGTAAGTGAAAAGGTAAGTCTAGTAGCGGTGAATAGGAAAGAGAAAGTAAGAGAAACAATATGAGAATATTAGAAGATATGTGTAGGCAGTGTACTTATATATTTGTGCAGTGAAAATTTGAGGACGAATTTTCTTAAAGGAGGGGAGATTTGCAATATTCCAAAAACCAGGTTATTGACTAAAATGGAAGTTTTTGAAATTTGGTGATCAAATTTTGAAAATTTGAAAGTTTAAAGACTTAATTGGGAATTTTATTTAAGAGGATTGATTGATAGATATAAGAAGATTGAAGGGCAAAATGGTCATTTGACCTCCAAGATAATTATTTTGTTATGGTTATATAGTAACCACGTGGAAGAGAAAGAAGGAAAAAGGAAATTATGGAGCATTCTCTTCATCTTTCTTCTTCTCCTCTCCACACCATAGCTAAGGTAAGTTGGTCTCAAGTTGGTTAATTCTTTCGTTTTAAAGTTGGTTTTGATTCTTGGAGTGATAGAAAAGCATAAGGAAAGCTTAAGATTGCTTAAAACTCAAAGAGGATTAAGTTATGTAAGATTTAAGGTAAAGAGTTTTTAAGGGAATTATTGAGATAGAGTTAATAAATAAGTTTTGAAGTGAAATTTGACTTGTCAAGGATCTAACTAAGAAATTTGGAGTATTATAAACGAATTCAGAACATGTTGAAAAATTGGTAAGATTCTTGGTTTCCAAATTTATGAAAGAATATTGGATATTAAGATGAATTAAAGTGGTATAAGTTGGCTAGAATAAGTGTAGTTAAATTTAAAGGGCTAAAAGGGGGTTATATAAGAAGAATTAAGTAAGTTTGTGTTTTAGGGTAAGAAAAGTGATTTCTGGGGCTATGTGTTTCGGTACTGCTTCATCAAGTACCGATACATCAAGAGTAAAATTAAGGAAGACATACATGAGGTATCGATACTTGAAGAACAACATTGATACCAAGGGTACCGATACCATAAGGACGGTATCGATACCATCTTTGAAACTGAATTACATAATGCATTATGGGTATCGATACCAGGCATGGTACATATACCACAGTTAGGGAAGTATCGATACCCTATATGGGGGTACCGATACTACTCCAAATAGAAAATAAAATTACACCTTTCTTTTAGTCTAAGAAATTAAGGATCGAATCATGAGATTTGGAATATTGATATGTATATAATATGTTTGATTGTGTAGATATTGATCGGATGCGAGTATTAGATAAATCAACAAGATAAGATCGAGCAAGGAAGAAGTAAGAGATCAGTATTGACTAGTGAGGCTAGGTGAGTGCATATTAGTTAGTATACGAGGGTTAAGGGAAATTAGACTTGCGACAAGTCTATTTCCTATGTTAGAATGCATGAACTCGTGAATGCAAGCATATATTTGCTATGAGTGAATGTTACATGTATTGCATGTGTTATATGATGCGTATGAATGTATGCTAGTGTGATAAGGCATAAACCTGTATAAGTGATCTATGTGATTATATATAGATATTGACATAAGAATGATCGAACATGTGATATATGAACATAAGAGATTGTGATATTAGGATCATATGATATGATGAGATAGAATATATGATAGACTATGTGATAAATCTACGAGGGTTAAGGTTAGACTTGCGACAAGTCTATTTCCTATGTTAGAATGCATGAACTCGTGAATGCAAGCATATATTTGCTATGAGTGTATATGTTACATGTTATTGCATGTGTTATATGATGCGTATGAATGTATGCTAGTGTGATAAGGCATATAAACCTGTATAAGTGATCTATGTGATTATATAAGTTATATGATTGACATAAGGAATGATCTGAACATGTGATATGAACATAAGATTAAGTGATATGAGCTATGTGATCATATGAGAATATGACATGAGATATGTTAATATATGATAAGAAACTATGTGATAAAAATCTACGAGCCCATGTGATATGAATGTGTGATTATGTTAAATGATATAAAGGATAATGCCCATGTTATGTGTCATGAGAGCTACAGGTATAGTTGGCATGCTAAGAGTCGAGGGTTCTATATGTAATCCTTTGGAACATATATGCAGTACTTTGGTACAGTTATTTGGTCTATTGGAATATGTATATGGTTCTTAAGGAGTGGTCCTTCAGGACATATGTGTTATATGTGGTCATTCGAGATATTTCTAAGCGGTCCTTCGGGAAAAAGTCTATGTGCCCCTATTGGGATTTTGTACGAGCTGTGGTGACATCATAAGTGTATAACCTCTACATACTTACATATCTGTAGTTCTCACTAGTGTACCATGGCAAACAAAAAGATTAACTTAAATAAATTGGATGAGATGCTATGTGTTTGATTTGTGAAATGTATGATATGATATGCATCAAGGTTAAGGATAAGATTACATGAGTAAAGGAATGAATGGAAATAATATTGATAATAAAAATAATGTGAATGATGATAATATTAGTATATATATATATATATGTATTTGTTACATGACAGGACATATGAATTTTGTACGATGATATAATTATATGTTCATGCATTGTTAGGAGTTAAAGTTACCTTATATGTTTTTCAATGCCTCACTAAGTCATCGACTTATCGTGTGAATGTTTCACACGTAGGTTTCGTGAGCAAGAAGAGGAGTAGAGATAGGCAAAACATGCCAGTTACTCATTTCCAAAGATCAGAAAAGCATATTTTGAATAATATGTATTATGTTATATAGAAAATTGTTGGCATGAAATAAAAGATTTGATTTGGATCCGCTATGATAAGTTTTGTAAATTATTTGATATAAATTGTATAAAGTATGCAATTTGATTTAATAAAAGTCAACATTTTCATTCTTTTGTAAAAGTAATTGTTTTAATAGTCAATGTGACATCTCGGACTCGTATCTAGGTCGGATACGAGTTTGGGGTATTACAAGATCTCTAGAATCTTGGACTGATTTATGTCGTGATTTCGTTATTACATTTAGTTCGATAAATATGAGTGATAAATTGTGTGATGATATTACTTCTTTTCAACAAACAGATGATGAATCCATGTATGAGGCTTGGGAGCGATATAGGGAGCTTTTACGCAAATGTCCCTTGCACGGATTCCCAGTATAGATGCAAGTGACGATGTTCTACAACTCAGTGAATACACCGATAAGGATGATGCTAGATGCTTTAGAAAATGGCATACTCCACGATAAGTCACCGAATGAAGCAATGGAGATTCTGAACCATCTTGCTAGAAATGATTATCAGTTCCCAACTACTAGAAGATGAGTCCGATGTAATACCATGATAAAACAAGTTTTATTCAACGGACACTATCTCCACATAATTGGTTACCTTAACCAACTTGGTTAAGAATATGCAGCGACTAAACAATCTATATGAGATCAATGTAGTAAATTCCTTTTGTGAGTTATGTAACGGTAACCATGATTCTTCTGAGTGTCCACATAATCTAGAGTATAGTTTCTATGTGGGAAATACAATATAAACAATAATGCAATGTCAAAAACATACAATCCAACTTGGAGTAAGCATCCAGATTTATCATGGAGTAACCCGAACAATGCCCTAAATCAGAACCAACATGCATCAGATTTCAGCAAAACATGACAAGGAAATATTTACCACCACAACAGTTGCCATCACAATATTCAATGCCATCTAGTTTTAAAATTTCTCTCTTTTCCTTTATGTTAAAAACTGAATCATACATGACTGAGAATAGTAATTTCATGAAAATAACTGAGCTTTTATTAAAATGACTGAGATGAGATTGCAGAACCAAAAGGCAGCTTTGAAATCCTTGGAGACAGATGTTGGAAAACTTGCCCAGAATTTGAACACAAGATGACTAAGCCGGTTTACCCGACGATACTAAGGTCGCAAAGGGATTAGGCCATGAGCAGTGTAAGGTAATCACCACCCGGAGCGGACGAAATCTATCTGAAACCCCTGCACAGCCCTAGGGGAAAACTCAACCAGCAAAACAAATCCTTGTCCAAGAAGATACATATAACAACATTACCCCAATCAATTTCGATAAATCAAAGGATGCCCAGACAAAGTCCAGATACCTCGACACTTCCAGATACAATGGCAGGTCCATCAATCAAATTCCAAACAAACGGGAAAGATGAGGAATTCAAACTTCCACCATCATTCCCTCAGAGATTGAAAAGGCAGAAACAAGAATACTAGTTCAAGAAATTCTTTGACATCTTGAAGAAAGTCCACACCAATTTGCCGTTAGTTGAGGCGATTGAGAAAATGCAAAACTATGTTAAGTTCCTTAAAGACATCGTTTCTAAGAGAACGATGATAGGCGAGTTTAAAACAGTTATTGTGACAAAGGGATGCATGACCATGTTGTACAACCGAATGCCACCTAAATTGAAGGATCCCTGTAGTTTCACAATACCTTGTGCAATTAGTAAACACTACGTTAGGAAGGCATTATGCAATCTTGGAGCAAGCATAAATCTTATGCCTAAATCGGTTTTCCAAAGATTGGGTTTCGAAGAGGAAAGACTTACGACATTTATGTTACAACTTTTAGACAAATCTTATGTGCATCTAGAAGGGAAAACTGAAGATATACTGGTAAGACTTGATAAATTTATTTTTCCCACTGATTTTATTGTTTTGGATTGTGAAGCAGATGAGTTTGCACCTATTATCGTTGGAAGACCATTCCTAACAATAGGAAGAACTTTAATTGATGTCAAAAAGGGAGAACTCACTATAAGAGTGAATGACCAACAAGTGAAACCAATTGTTTTTCCAACCTTAAAGCATGCTGACAATCCAAAAGAATGCCAAGTCATTCACGCCACCATTAAATTCAATTTTGAAGTAGAGGAGAATTGCCACGACAATTCTATTGCCGAACCAGAGAAATTTAAAGAACCAAACGATGGAGAGCAAGATGAAGCAAATTGGATAGTAAGCCAACGGGGTAAATATTTCGAAGCAATAGACTACTCAGGTAAGGAAAGTAAACTAAAAAAATCTTCTATTGAGCAACATCCCATGCTAGAATTGAAATCATTGCCAGGGAAATTCGAACTACCTTTCAATTATTGGTTAAAACTTTTTCCGGGAAAACTGAAATCGAGATGTTCCGGGTCGTTCGAGGTAGTGGAACATTTCTCCCATGGTGTTGTAATAATCCAAACCATCATCGACGGACATGAGTTTCAAGTCAATGGACAACGATTTAAGCACTACATCAGTTCCCATGTTGAGCACGACAAGGAAGTTGTTACGCTCGGAAAAGCATGTATATGCTCTCTTTCATTATTTTTATTGTTGATTTTTTTCCTTTTATTTTTTATTTTTATTTTAATATTTATTTATTTAATTAGTTTCTCTTGTTATTTAATAGTTATCTTTTTTTGTTTTGCTTGAATTTTAGGAGCCACGAAATTTAAAAGCATGATTCACCTAAGCGATAAGGTTAAGGACAGAGGATTTCGAGTGCACCACCATCAACATATTCCCAAACACCACAAGCATCATAGTTTGATAAAAACCTATTATTCACATGGAATCTCATTAGTTGACTTGTACACAACTACACACACACATTATCACAAGCATTGTAGTTTGATTCTGAGTAAATTCTGTGCTATCCAAAAAATCAAAAGGTTATCATACTTTGTGCCACGATTCTGAGGATTGAATTCAAAAAAATGAAGTAAGTTTTTTATGGTTGAGGCATTGGCAGGCAATTGTTAGTTTTGCATTGCTTGAGGACAACCACTAGTTCGAGTTTGGGGGTGTGATAAGTGTATAAAAGTACTAAATTTTCAACCATTTTCCCCATAATTATTGCTAGATTCAGGTTCATTTTATTTGCATTGTTAGTATTTCATGCATAATTACATAATTTTCCTTCACTACCGAGTTGATATTATATTTTTATTTCTTTTTGTGGAAAAAATGTTGTTGGTGTGTGTTATTTTGTGCAGGATAATGCTGACTGGATAAATCTACATCATTAGAGATAATCATGGCACAAAGAGATAATTCCTAAAAGTTTGGGTTTCTAAGAAGAGTTTAAGAAGGAAAGAAGTATTAATTGCAAGAGATTTAAGGATAAAGATAAAAGAGATTTATTTCTTTTATTAAGAGATATTTATTACTTCTTTTATTTAAATGAGATTAATAGCTCTTTTATTGGAATTAAAACACTTCTCCTCCAAGAAAAGAAAATCACACACACATCTCCTATAAAAAGGAGAAGAAGACGCACAAGGGGAAGGGGAAGGGGAAGGGGAAGGGGATAGCGAGAGAGGGAACACAAATTCTTTTTCTTCTCTGTTTATTTTCTTTTCATGTATTTTTGTTGCACCCAATCATGAACTAAATTTAATTGGCTTGTGTTATTGAGTTTTTGTGGGTGTGAAAACTCTTAGATTTGTTTAAGTTCTTGATTACGGTTTGAATTCCAAGTTTATTCATTATTGGTTCTTTAATTGATTTTGAGTGAATTGGAAGAGGATCTCGAGAATTATCCATTTATCTAATATTGGGAGAGTTAGATTCAAGAAACAAATGATTATGATCTTCATTTGAACGAAAGTTGGTGAATGTTACTCCATCTGAGGGATAAGATTTGAATTTCAATGGCTAAAAGGAGCGCGAGATTGGTTGTTGTTCAACCATGGTTAACACATGGATGTATCACCAAGGCATGCATAATTGACCAGTCCTTCGAGTTAGGGATAATAAGAAGACATTGAAAAATGCTCTACCGAGCTTTGAAGGAAGGTGCCCAGTTACCTCGACAATCAATGATTCAGACTTTCCAAACAGTTATCACACCACTAATCATGATAATCTGACATGCTCTCTCACTTGATATCAGTCCACTTTTATTTACTTGTTCATTTATTTTATTTATTTATTCACTCTCCTACTATTACCAATTTATTTCTTAACTTGTTACTCGAACTCCTACAATAACAATTTCAATTTACTTTTTAGTGCAATAAGTTAGAATACAGAGTTACACCAATCTCTATGGAGACAATATATTTTCTATATTATAACTTGCAACATGTACACTTACACTATTTGTGAAGCACTTAAATCACGCAACACCTTCAATTAGGCGCTGATACATGTCGATTGTAACATGTATCACGATCATATGTTGACATACCTCATGATTGAAGAGTTTATTTATTAAATTAAATTAAAAGTAAGACTAAATTGATTGAATGTGTATGTATTAATGATCAAATATGTAATTAGAACTAACACATAAGCACTTCCATTAAATGTTAACGACGTATTACTATTTTGAAATTAATTAAATAATTAAGTAATTATAATGATAAGATTTTAAAAATGATAGTTATATCGACACTAACTGATAATTAAAAATGATAAGATTTGTCCAACATGATCGTTATCGGACTTGCTAGTATACAGTTCGAGCGTTGAAAAAGTGGTGTTTTAAAAGATCAACTTCAAATTACTGCACGTTCCCTAGCTGCACGCTTGACAAAGCTTACTAGTCGCACTACATTGGGACTGAATCACCCAATTGCCCTTCCAATAAAGGTTGAATATTTATTTTGTCATAGATTTACTCAGGTGAGTGAAAGAAGAGAAACAAGTCGAAATAAAATAAATTTTAAACGTATTTGATAGTAAAAGATTGAAATAAACGAAAATTTATGATTTCAAGTTTGACCGTAAAAATTGAAAAGAAAAGAAAAACAAATTTTAAATATATTTGAGATTTACGAATTTTATATTCATGAATAGCCATTAGAAGTATTTGTATCAACATACATATCTAATCATATTTTAAATAGTTTTAACGGCTATTCGTATCTTGCATATATAATAAGTTAGTATTATAAGTGTGTAAAAAAGTCCAATATGAATGATTCGATCCGTTTATCTAATGATTTGATCTGATTATTTTTAGATAATTCGAATCAGATATCTGATAAAAATTACGGATAACCGAATTAAATACGGATTAAAAAAATCTGATTTCATATTATCCGAATATCCGAAAATAAGTGGCCTTTAGCCGTAGGCCCGTTGTTGTTTGGTCGTAAAAAGCAATATCATGGGT